TGTGCTGCTGAAGTGGCAGCATCTGTGAGCAGGAAAGTGGGGAAATGGCTGTGGAAGGTGGGAGGAAGGGGCATTGAGCAGGTGCACAGAGAGCAGCAACAGCTGAGCAAGAGCACGGGGTCCGTGCTGGTGGGGGCCAGCAGGGGTCAGTGGAGCCAGGCTAGGCTATGCCAGCAGAGAGAGGGGAGCCAGCCCAACTCCACAGTGCCCCTGCTGGCCCAGACCCCACACTTCTGCCGCCCCACTCTGGGACCCACCAGTGCTGGCCCTGGAGCACTGGTGCAGACCCCATGCTCCTGCCTGGCTATTGCTGCACTCCCATGTGTCCGCTCATTGCCCCTTCCCCCTGCCTTCTGCAGCCATTTCCCCGCTCCCTCCAGTTCACCCACCAGCTGCTCCGGCACCTTGTGGTTCCTGGCTACATCACCAGGACCGCAGGAGCCGGCCCGCCCTAGCCCAGCCTTGAGGACTGGGTCAATTGCGGTCTTTCCCTGCCTCCCTCCCCCTTCTCCCCCCACCCCTCGATCTGAATTTCTCTCCGGCACAGGGAGGCAAGAACATCCCTAGGGTCCCAGGCCAGAAACCTCTGCTAGGCAGAGGCTTCTGCTGAGGGCGGGGGGGCCTTGCTGCTGCGGCTGCTTAGTCCTGCCGCTGGCTCCCCCTGGGTCCTACTGCTGCTGGCTTCTGTCATCTTTGATGCCAGGGGCAGATAAATATTAATTTTCTAAAATTTTAGGGGACCCACGGGCTGGATAGAATGGCTTGGCAAGCCAGATCCAGCCCATGGGCCGTATTTTGCCTGTCCCTGATATAGCATCTAGCAGAAACAGTTTTTTCTTGTTTTTTAAAGTAGAGATTGTGGTGGCAGAAATGCAATGGTAGTTATGGTGGTGAATGTCCTTGTACTTTCTCTCTCACTCAGAGGCACCATAAATCACCAATACCCCATGATGCAACTTTGCTGACAAAAGAAAATGGAAGAAGGAAGTTTAAAAGGAAGGAAGCTTGGTAGACTGAACTATTCTTTATGAGTCTGCTATATGCAGTAAGAACTTACAAAACATTTTTGTTTTTAGCTTATTCTGTCTTGACATTTTAAAGTACTATTTGACTATTATAGGTTTTTTTCTTTTTTTTAAATAAATCAGCAGGTAAATATTACAAAATAGTATTCTCTTTAATGACAAGTCCACAAATACTAAGTGTTTTATTAGTTTTAACTTGTTACATGGATATTATTTTCCAGTTTCTTGTATTATGTTATTTTTAGATCAATACAAAAAGACTGTTTTAAAAAAGGCAGGCAAAGCTGTGAGGCACAACACTCAAAAGTCAGGAAATAGCAGTACACAAGTATGAATGATGTACAATATACATATGACAGAAGCTTCAACTTCTTTTTTCCTTTAGTCTTTTTAGATGGTAAAAATCAATCATGGAACCTCTCAAAAATCCTGAATAAAGTATACCCACATGTTATACTTGTGGAAAAATTCCTTCTTTCAGAAAAACAAAAAAGCTCCTAAAAACATTCACTACATTTCAAAAAAGTGATCCAACTGCTGCATACCAGAAGAGAGACAAAACACAAGATCACCAGAAGCAGAAAAAGTTGCCTACATTTGACAGCCCTATTAGTTTCCAGGAAGACATTTAAATGCCATGACCAAAAAAAAAATGTGTGCAAGTCAATCTGAGTGGGAGTGTCAAAGCAATACTTCCCAGGAAGGGGAAGTACAGATGCAACAAATCAGCATGTTTTAGAGACACACACACCCATAAATAATCACTATTTACTAGCTTATGTTAAGAATAGGAAAAACCTTTAAGTGATGATGCACACAGCATGGCATGGCTGGCATTGTATAAAACAGCAGCTCTTAGCAAATAAGTGGGCGTGTATCACTTTACAAAAGTAGTCTTTGTTTTTGTGAAAGTATTACTCATCAAACACTTGAAAGCTTAAGTTAGTACACTTATATCATAACTCCCATTTCAGCTGCACAATTACAAATAAATTATAATAAATATAGCTTTACTAGTACAAAAAGCCAACATATGTAAAACTTCTCTATGAACATTTATTAAGCTACAAATGATGAAGTACAACAATTTCTGTGTATCCCAAACCAAAGATCTGCTTTTGCTTCCATTGAAGCATGGGCAACTGGTGGCTCCTGAGTCTGGCGGGGGGGCACCCACAGATGCTGCCGGCAGCATCGGTGGCAGAGCTGGCAAGCATCCGTGGACACTGCCAGTGGTGTTGGTGAGCTCCTGCAGATACTGCCAGCGGCATTGGCGGCTGGGACAGACCTGTCGGGGGGGCACAATAAGCACCCGCAGATGCTATCAGTGGTGTTGGTGGTGGGGATGACCCCCTCTACCAGTCGCCTAAGCATTGAAGTCAAGAGCAAAACTTCCATAAGATTCAAATGCAACAGGATTAAATTCAAAAGCTCAAATTTATGTAATGCCAGGACACTTAACACAGACAAAAGTCCTAACTGAGAAATACTAACTACCTCCTACGTGGTGTTGAGCGCCCAATTCTAACAGAGTTCAACAAGAGTTGAAAGCATAAAGCACCATATATAGTTGCACTTTATTTTGATTATGCTATACTATTTTAGACTAACACCACTGCCAGCACTAAAAAGTGATTACTGTAAATAAGTACCAATTTTATATCTATTTATATACTCATTTTATTACTGAGGAAAATGGAAGGAGTCCAAAGATCTCAGTTCAAAGATAACTTTCAAGTCAAATCAATATAGGACAGCTTCTCCCCCAAATGTAACATGCAACTCCAGCCTTCTCAAGTGCTCATTTTAGATGTGGGATGGGAATGTGGCCAGTTGAGCACGTTTCTATGTTTAGAAGATTTTGAATTTCTTCCATTTGATAGTAAAACGTTGAATATAGTGCCATGACATCAAGACACCTGTTAATTTACCAAACTGTTGTTAAACATGTGCTATTATATTTCTCCTCCTGCCTCATGTCCCACCACATGCCAAAAATAAAACACCCTTCTTTCTCATCTTTCACTCTTGTGCTGTTGTTGGATACAGTGCCCTTCCAATTAACTGGTGCCCTTCATATGCTACAGAAAGAGCAGAGATTTTACGGCATGAATCAGAGACTGGAGAAAAATGTGGTGATGCATATCATGTAAGGAGCAACTGGTTTTCTAACACTACCCACAGGAACAACAACCACAGTCTACCCAGCAAAACTGCCTGGCAGTACTGACGGGACACTAAGGTGAGCTACTGCAGAATCCAGAGAAGCCAGAATATTTAAGTATTTTCAATTTGCAAATATTTTATCATCTCAAAATATAAATGTACCCAAAAGTAGTCTGATATCTGGTAAAAAGTATAAGATGGCTGCAATATCGGAGTATCATGGAAGATAAGATTTTTTTTAGCATGAGTTTGTATTACATGGATACTTTTTAGAGAATATACTCTGTACCAATGATGCTCATATTCCCCCCTCTCCCTTCCCCATGCCTGAAGGGCAGGGTCCCATTTGTCTGCAGGCCAGATCCCAATGATGATCCCAATCTGGTGCAGCACAGGTGCAGTAGGTACCCTCGGACCACATGGATGGGTTTAACATCAGCTCCCCCCGTCCCCTTCCCACAGAGGAATGTGGCATGGCCCAGTTTTGTGAGAGAGAGGGGGCATGGCCTGGCCCCACAGAGAAATAGCAGTTGTGGTTTGGCTGGGGGGG